CAGAAGACACTATTGTGAATACGTTTGTCCGTATTAGCAGGCATCCTTCCCATTCTGCAAGTTGTAAGGGCTGTGTAAAATGTTGGTGGGGTCATTACTAATTGGTTGAAGTGGTCCCACGTGCAAGGGTGCGTACCCGTCTTTTGTCTTCTTTCCAACAGCTTTTGTGTAATGGCTTTGCAAACTTATCCCAGTCTTTTCATTTAATTTTCTCATGTTTGATAGGTAACCAAGGCAAGGAGCTCGTGAGCTAGGAGGTTTTGCGGCTTTTCGATTCTGCTTTGGCCAGGGAAGCTTCCTTGACAATACGTCACCAACATCCAATTTCAACATCATAAAATCCATGCCAAGATAAGTTATTACTCTACATTCTACACTTATACTCATCTGTTCCCCTTTTGTTCTCACTACTTCCTATGATCAATTATCGTTGTGTCTAAACGAAAACTTGGCGGGGACTGTCTCCAGATGCCTGGGTCCTTGCGCCCTGCATTCTTCATGGTAATTCATGTAGTGACTGCCATGATATTATTCTGTTTGTGCAGGACCTATTGCGACGACTTGCAGGAATTATCGTGTCACACGGTTGGCGACGCATGGAAACATAAATGATCTCGGCAGGCGAAGCTAGCATTGAGCAACAACATGGAATACCATCTTCGTATAGCTTGCGAACCAGATTGAAACCATATTTCAGGCTGTGACAGAAGCACCACCGCGGTAACCATCTAAAGAAGTTGTGAAAACTGATATGCCCACACAGAATTCACAAACACTCTTTCATGCCTGGCTGGTTTCTGCTTACGTTTTTATGTGATGTGCTGATTTTATAAACTTTTCAAAATCTGCTTCTGGTTGTGCTTATAGATAGTCGGTTATGAATTTTATGCAGGATTGCTTGTTTAGGCTGATGCAGAAAGTGACGCTTTTGCCGCGTGAAGCCTGCTATTATGACTTTTGCAAATAGCAGTTGTGGATTAGAGCTGCAAGCTTTAGAGGTGCGTATGGGTTGTGATTTTCATGTTGTGCCGTTCATGAAGGACAAGAATTAATGGCAAAGTTTTGCTATGTGTTGTCATTATTTTTCTTTTCCTTTGCATCTGTGTATGATATTTTCACATTATCGTGTAAATTACCAATTGAATCATTATGGAACCATGTTCTGTATATCTCGCATCTTTCGTGAATCAAAGAAACCGCGTGATGGCTTGGTAGTAGCAGCTTGAGAGGGATCTTATTAACCATGGTAAAGTGTTCTTGCCTATACATGTTCGGTTGTTTTTTCAAAACTTCTTCACCTGATTTTCTTGTTTCTTTTTCATGTGTGACCTGTAAATCCGGAGCGAGACTTGAACAACTTGGATGACGCATTCTTGTGCATTTCGGGTGCTGAATAGGTCAGCTGTATAAAAACCGACACTGGTACATTGTTGGTGCCTTTGTGTGGCATATACTTCAAGTATTTGATCAAGTCCACTTGTAGTTTGAAATTTGCAGAAGTGGTAGGAATTGCGAGCTGGTGCACATGACATCTTGTCAATTTCTGTTGATGGCTTTGTTCTTCTACTGCTGAAAGAGCTATCACAACTGTCCTATTTTTTATCTTGTGCAGGTTCCGTCCGTGAATTATGGTAGGACTCGCGGAAACAGTTTGTGGAATGGTACGGGTTCAGGACATCGTGGGTGCGTACGAGATCAAAGATGCTGCGTGACATCTTACTGTTGGTGTGGTTTTATACTGCCATCTGTATCTATCAATTGTGAGGTTTAATCACCGCTTTCTCAGTCTGTTGTGAGGTCTTTTTCTGCAGGTGAGGCTGCACAAAGGGAAGGGTGTGAGCTGGAAAATTTGCTGCTGCTGTGGGTGTGCAGAGGTTTTGGCAATGCGGTACACTGTGGTGCGGTTTGCACAGGTGTAGGATGGTACGAGAAGACCGCAGGTCGTGCACTGCATCATGGTTATGGGGGCTGGGAGGATTGCAATTTTCTTTCCATTTTTGAAATATGAACCAGTGTACAAATAGTTGGTTTTGGTCACACCTTTTCCCTCAAAATCCTTGCTGTTGGGAAAACGAAACCAATTACTGCTATGTGGAAATGTAATGGGAAATCAAAGCTAGTTACCACCTTTTAGACCTTTAGTTAAATCAGATGTTTCTTTGTATCATGATTCAACTCTGTAATTTTTAAACCCTGTCATAACTTGTATCTATGATTTTGCACCAGTAGAGTTCTTTTGAAGTTTTCCATTTTGGTGCTCTTTACCATAATACGTGATGTTGAATCATTATTATGATTTTGGATCCCTTTCTATTACCATTTGTGAAATATGAACCACGACACTTTGACTCAAGAATGATACTCAAACGCGTTCAACTTCGTGAGCAAAACATGACTCAAGTTTGGCCTTAAAAATCTAACAACCTGAAGTCATATTCTTAAAAAAAAAATAAGACCTTAGAATGATGTTAGTATTTTAAGCAACCTTTAAAATAAGTTGAAAATTTGAACCGTGATTTTTCATTATGGCTTGCAACAAAAAATCAACTCATAACATGAAATAAGTCCCACATAATTTGAAAATGATCCAATCATGGCGCATATGGCTTGATCTCAAGTCGATTGTGCCTTGGGAATTTACAATCACACCTTATAATCACTACTAACGATTCTCCCAATAATGACTTGTATATATGCTTGAGTCCCTTTAAACTTGGCTTGAATACGACCAGAAATTCTTTGGGATAGACCTTGAAGTCATTTAATCATATCTGGACCAATATGTCGTGCAATATATCTTCCCTCATCCTCTTATGATTCAACACATTTTCACGTGCCTAAAAATCATGATGGACACAAAAAAATCCTCCATACTTAAAATTTATAGGATCATGGCCAAAGACCCAAATGACCCACCCATAGCAAGTTCGTGAAGGCACAAAAAAAAAATGGTATCAAAAAGTTGAAATAGTAGGACAAATTTGGGGTATGACAGTATGCAAGCTAAATAGGTCATTATATGGCCTGAAGCAATCTCTTATGCAATGTAATAGGAGGTTTGATAGGTCATGACACACATAAGTTTCACTAGGAGTCAATTTGACCACTGTCTTTACTTCACATTTCAACCTGGAAGTTCACTTGTGATTTTATTGTTGTATGTGGACGATATCCACATAGCCAATGATTGTTTCAAAGAGGTATTGAGGGTAAAGGTTGAACTTACACAGGAGTTTGAGATAAAGGATCTTGGTACTGCCACCAACATCTTTGGGATTGACATCCAGAGAGATAGAAAGAAGTCGAGATTATGCTTATATCAAGAGACATGCCTACGGAAGATTCTCGACATCTCAAACTCAAAGCCTGTTGTGACTCTGACAAATCCTCAATTCAAGCTAAGTGTAACTCAGGGTCCTAGTACTGAGGTCAAAAGTGTCTATATGAATAGCATACCTTATGTTAACGTATGAAGATTCTTTGATGTGTGATATGGTTTGTATTAGGTCAGGCATAGCATATGCAGTGAGCCTTGTAAGCAGGTATATGGTCAATCCTAGAAAGGCACACTGGCAAGCATTTAAATGGATTCAAAGGTACATAAATGATTCTCTAAGCAAAGTTCTTATTTATGATGAAGCCAGAGGTGATAGCAAAGTTGAAATCGAAAGATTTGTCGATTCTGATTATGCAATTGTATGGATTCCAGAAAATCTCTTTCTGAATATGTTTTAACTATGTTTGACACATCAATCAGTTAGAAAACAACACTTCAGAAGGTTGTTGCCTTATTAACTACTAAAGCAAAATACATTGTTTTCACTGAAGATATGAAAGAAGCATTATAGCTTTAAGATTTTGTTAAGGAGCTGAAACTTCAAGGACAAACAATCATTGTTAAATGTGATAGCCAAAGTGTCATACATCTGCCGAAGAATTCAACCTATCATGAGTGAACCAAGCACATTGATGTTAGGCTACAACTTGTCTGAGAGATGATCGAGCATAAAAAAGTCAAAATGTTGAAGATTCTGACTGATGATAATGATGTTGATATGATCACTAAGGTATTGCAAAGTTGCAAGTTCTTCCACTATATGCAGTTGATAAGACGGTAAGGGCAGTTTTTACTTTTCATCATAGTAGGGGAGAAACCCATAAGGTGGCAAAAGTAACTCCCATATATGATTTAGTCACGCAACAAACAAACTTGTAGACTATTGTGGTTTGTAGACTATTGTGGTATGGACTGATCAAAATTTTATAGGCCCATTTAAATTACAAAACAATCCAATTTAGGCAATGTTACTTCCCCTCCCTTTGTTTTTTTTTTTTTTAATCTCACTCTTACCATTTTTTTTTAGAAATTCTAAAACACATGAATTGCCAAAGAACTAATTTTGAGCATATAATAATAAGTAAAACATTTTTCAGTACGATGACATATTGCAAACAAGTTAGGTTATAATGTTACGTATTACTCTCTTCGATCCTTTTTTATAAAGAATATTTCATCTTTTTAAATTTATTAAATAATTAATGTATCTAGTTTGTATTACAGATGAGATATATTAATTATTTAATAAATCTTGAAATATAAAATAACTCTTATAAAAAGGATAAAAAGGACCTGAAGAAGTATATTACTATAGCTACCTAAGTTCTAATAAATGCTAACTTTCTGTAGATGCAATTAATGAGACAAAGAATATAAATCAAAGTGCAAGAGTAAAAGATCCTTCAGTGAATTGTTGCTAAATGACTAATATACATGATGTGAATATAAGGATGCAACCTTGTGTGCATCTGAACTTTATTAGATACTGGTTAAGATTGAGTCTTTCATACGTCTCAAAATAAATTTATGGTACATCACATGTGTAAAAAGAACTCAATTCTGGAACGCCTAACTATTTACACAGTTATTGTTTTGGTATTTCCTGAATTTTCTTAATAGCCTTCAGCAAATTTACCAAACAATTAATTGAATTCTGGAACGCCTAACTACTTACACAGTTATTGTTTTTCCTACATTGAACAAATCTAGCAACAGTGTTTACTTTCTTAACAATTAATGGAAGAAGCTCAAAAGCATCATTTAAAAATTGAACTTCGTCCCTTGAAACCTCTTCTCCGTAGCCCTTCTCAAGTTTTGAAAATAATTGCACAGCTCTCTCAGCTGCTGCATCCAAACTACCAAACGCTTCTTTGCATGCAGCTATGGTTTCTTGCAGTTCACTCCCGTCACAACCACCTTCCCTTTGATCTCTGTCTAGCCCCAGCTGATTGTCGATAGAATTTTCTCTGGTAGGGCAGCTAGTTAATTCATGCCTTGAATTTGGTGTTGAATTCTTGAGGTTCTACAATAGACAATAGACATTTTGTGAAGCAATATTAAGCAAAGTGATCAGTGACGCTACTTTTCATAATGATATCAATCAGTACATCACGCATACCTCTTCAGAAGAATTTTCCGCTTCTTGAATTTCCATCAACTGTAAGGATCTGTTTTCTGTTATATTATCAGTTGCAACTTCGTCTTTAGACTTTTTGCTATCAGTGATATTCCTGACAGGACTGCTAAATAATTTCTTGTAGTGCCCTGCATAATCCCAGTGTACAGTATATCTTGAAGAAAACCTTCTAACTGATGAGTTCCTTGACTTCATCTGTGAAGATACATCAGAGTAAAATAAAGTATTTATAAGCTCAAGAAAACCTTATAAGATGTCTTACTCCATTAAAATTAGATTTAGCCATTGCATGCAACACTAACCTTGTGTGTACTTGATAGACTGCATATATGTTGCTTAAAGATATCACTGTCTTTTACACAGCTCAGACTGTTCAAGTTATCTTCACGAGTTGTTTTTAACATGCTTCCAGATTCATCTAAATGCAACTGCTCTTCTTTTCTTCTATTGGAAACTTCTTCATAATACCTAGAATAATTATTATTGTTGGAACCGACATGCTGGTCCAAAACGAGACCTGTCTCCTCATTAAGGCTACTAAGTTCAAAGGAGATCCTGTCCTTACTGATCATAGACCTATCTTGTGCTGCAAATAAGCCATTATTTATAGAATTAGAGCATATTTTTAATAAGCTCATCAATTTAAAATCACAAGAACAAGGTAATTTGATCAAAATTCGAACAGACCATCCAAAGAGCCAAAGTCGCAGAGGAAAATGAAGTTGCCCACCTAATGTTTTCAAAACTAAGTTGAATATCAATTATGGTGCAAACACATCCAAAAAGTGATTAGATTGGTTCCATCAATTATATATTGAAGTTTGACAATGATAAAACTGTGGTTGAAGCAGATAATGTTTTAGTTGGAGATATAGCTAGTTCATGGTCCAACATGGTTCTAATGGGCAATACAGTTCAATTTTTAAAACAGTATGCCAGACTTCGCACGCAATACCAAATGCCCATTTACCATGGGTGAATTCAAAACTATATACAAGAAACAAAATTGTAACCATAACATTTTGTTAGTTACACTATCTTTTGTCATCAAAGTCATATTCTTCACATCAAAGCTAAATAAAGCTTTGTTGACATTATGGTTTTTGCCCTATCATATATAAAAGTGTGAGATTGAGAGAAATGCAATGCAAGTAAAAGGGTCCAACTTACTTGAACTCGAGGCAATCTTCGGAACCTTTGCCTCAAGTACGTTTTGCATCTCCGGCGTGGAAAGTGCATCCATACAATTAGTGTAAACATTGTGCCAATGGTTGTCCAAATCAGTGTTGCTGAAATTGTAGTGGTTTCATAAACAAAGAACTGATATGCCACCAAATGGTCATGATTTAAGACTAAGACTCGATGCTTACTTGAAAGTACCACCAGGCCTTGAAGTGCATTGAGTGTTCAGAGTTTCTGGCGATAAAGAAGGACAATTGGGTGGTATTTGAACTTCTGGGGATAAAGCAGGATGTGCCTGATCATCATCAATACAAAAGATATTAGCGAGTGGACTTCATGCCAAATCCTAATACCGTTCGTGGTGATCATGAAACTAAGAGGTCTTTTGTGTTCGGGATCTAATTGTATGCTAGACACCAATACAATAGAATCCTTATTTTTTAAATATTGACACCTTTACATCAGAAGCTTCGACGAGAGTTTATTAGAATATAAACTTCTACAAAATGAGGAACATGGCAAAGTGGCATTTTAATTGGATTTCAATTTTGGAAATGTGAGATCTAACAATGAAATCCAATTAAAATGTCAGTTTCAAATCATAGATAATTTAATGTCCTCTGCAATGATGATGATATTATACATTCTTGAACATGCTGCCAATACATATATAACTCTACTCATGTATAGATCTCCAAATTCCAAATATGTTTCCATAGGCATAAAAAAGCCTCTTCATATTATAAATTGTGGGTAAGAGGGCAGAGAATTTGAATACAATGCAGTTTCTCAAAGAAAAGAAACAATCAGAGTGCATATACCTCTGATGAAATGTAACTAACATCATTGCATTGAGTCACTTTTGCCTGCGCCCATTTGGGAAGTCTTGAAATACTATATTTAAAACATGAAGCCTCTCCATGAATACTTTTTGAGTTAAGCACTCCATTCCCACTTTTGCTCTCTTTCTTTAACGAACAGACATCCCTGCAACTGATCTTGCAGTGCTGACACTCTTCTTTGCAAGATGATATATGACTACAAGCAGAAGGTTGACCAGGGGTTCTTGAATGCAATGGATTACTTTTTTCCATTATTTTCTCCAATATTTTAGAAGACAGTGAAGTGGGCAATTTCCATACAAAAACACAACCATCACCATCCACCTGAATATGGAACAAGTTAATAACAAATCTGTTGCTGGTCACAAAACAGAGGGAAGCATCATAGAGATGAAAAAATTGATAAAGCATCTTACATACTATAGTGATGAGAATCGAATCACTTGAATGACAAGAGTTTGAAAATTTAACAAGGAACTAGAAATTTAAAAATGCACGGGATATCTCTTTATGTCCTCTCTAGTTTCTGCTACAACATAACTTAAGGTATTCTATACTAATTGTTAAGAAATTGTGGTTGAGCCTAACTCAATCCTACAAAACCAGTTGGTAGAGTGAGGATTGCCCCCACTTATAAACACATGTTCATGCCATATATTGTCCGATGTGAGACTCTTAACACACCCCTTCACGCCCAGGATTGGACATCTGGAGCATGGAAATAAATGATGGGTGGCCCGATTGCGGAAATGTCCACCGGATCTTAAATCAGGCTCTGATACCATGTAAAAATATGGAAATGTTTTATATATCTTGTAAAAAATACGTAAGAGGTATTTATAGACTATACATCTATCTAAATATGGGTGTAATTATTCTCCCTATAAATGTTAATTATTTATAATAAATCGTATAGGATAGCAGCTCATAATGAGCTGTATGATATTCAACATATTCAACACAGTTTGGGAAACCTATTAAACGGTTACGGTCAGACAATGGTAAGGAGTATGTAAACCAAATTTTTTGCAATTTTCTCAAAACTAATGGTGTTGTTCATGAGTTGACTTGTGTTTAACACTCCACAACAAAATGGGGTTGCTGAAAGAAAAAATCATCATCTTCTTGAAATCACCCGAGCATTACGCTTTCAAATGAATGTTCCTAAATTTTATTGGGGGGAAGTTGTCTTGACCTCTGCTTATTTAATCAATAGGTTACCTTCTAGGGTGTTATCTGGTGTTAGTCCTGTGCAGGTCCTGACTCGATTCTTTCCGTCCGTGCCCATCTTGTCAAGTCTTCAAAATCGTGTCTTTGGTTGTTTTGCCTTTGTCCATATTCATGGCCCTCATCGGGGTAAGTTAGATCCTCGGGCTATTAAATGTATTTTCATAGGATATGCTTCAGATAAAAAGGGGTACAAGTGTTATCATCCTCCTAGTTGTCGTGTCTATATATCCATGGATGTTACTTTTCAGGAATTAGAGTCTTTTTATCCCAGTCCTCAGCTTTAGGGAGAGAATAATCAAGAAGCTGAGTCTTCAGAGCTGTCTATTCTTCATGTTATTCCTCTAATACAGGACCCAGAGCCGTCTCCTGAATTGTCTGTTATTCCTGTAATACAAGAGCCTTTGATGCCTAATGAGGATGGTGGTGATGTACCAATACCGGTGCATAATAATGATGAGGATGGTGGTGATGTATCAATACCGGTGCATAATAATGATGAGGATGGTGGTGATGTATCAATACCGGTGCATAATAATGTTGACAGATACAAGTTACAGTTCCAGCGAAAAAGGTGGAAAGGTAAACCCGTTCTGCCCCAACAAGTCCAATCGTCTGAACCTGAGGTAAGTGTTCCTAACCCTGAGCCTAGTAATTCTTGTGAGCTGAACCTTGATGACCTACCTATTGCTTTGAGAAAAGAAAAAAGGTCTTGTACTAAATACCCCATATCCCAGTTTGTGTCTACTGAAAAACTTTCTGTGCAGCATCAGAGTTTTATTTCAACTATTGACTCTATTAGAGTCCCTACATCAGTACAAGAAGCATTAAAGGATAAGAACTGGATTCAAGCCATGAATGAAGAGATGCATGCACTAGAGAAAAATGGGACTTGGGAGATTATTGAGAAGACAAATGACAAGAGGCCAGTAGGTTGCAGATGGATATATACGGTAAAATACCGATCCGACGGCACACTAGACAGATATAAGGCGAGGCTAGTTGCAAAGGGATACACCGAGACCTATGGAATTGATTATGAAGAGACATTTGCTCCAGTAGCAAAAATGAACACTGTAAGAATCATCACTTTGATTGGGAGTTGCAACAGTTTGATGTGAAAAATGCTTTCTTGCTGGAGATTTAGAGGAAGAGGTGTATATGGAGATCCCACCTGGATATGACCCTACTTCAGGAAGTAATAAGATTTGCAGATTAAAGAAGGCCATAAATGGGCTCAAGCAGTCACCTCGAGCTTGGTTTGGAAGGCTCACTCATGTTATGGTGTCCTTGGGTTATAAACAAAGCCAAGGTGATCATACTCTCTTTATAAAGCATTCTCAAAATGGTAAACTCACTCTTTTGTTAGTCTACGTAGATGATATGATCATAGCAAATAATGATGAATTTGAGAAGATGAACTTGAGGAAGGAGTTGGCAGCTCAGTTTGAAATGAAGGATCTTGGAAAGTTGAAATATTTCCTAGGTATGGAAATAGCATACTCAAAACAAGGCATTTTCATTTCTCAAAGAAAATATGGCCTTGACCTTCTCAAAGAGACTGGCAAGTTGGGTTGTAAACCCAGCAGAGTGCCTATAGAGCAAAACCACAGGATTGGGAGTGATGAGGAAAGTCCAAGGGTTGATAAAGCTCAATACCAGAGACTTGTGGGAAAGCTCATTTATCTATCTCACACCAGGCCTGACATAGCTTATCCAGTTAGTGTTGTCAATCAATTCATACATGATCCACAGGAGAGGCACTTACAGGCTATGGATAGAATCCTGCAGTATCTAAAGATGAGCCCAGGAAGAGGTTTATTGTTCAAGAAAAGTGAGCAGTTGTCTATGGAGGTCTATACTGATGCAGATTATGCAGGGTCGATTGTTGACAGGAGATCCACCACTGGATATTGTATGTTCTTAGGTGGAAACTTAGTGACATGGAGGAGCAAGAAACAGAATGTAGTTGCCAGATCAAATGCAGAGGCAGAGTTTAGAGCAATGGCTCAAGGAGTTTGTGAATTGTTGTGGATGAAGATCATTCTAGATGACTTGAAAATAAAATATGAAGCTCCTATGAGACTTTTCTGTGATAATAAGTCTGCTATTAGTATTGCTCACAATCTGGTCCAACACGACAGAACAAAGCATATAGAGATAGACCGACACTTCATTAAAGAGAGATTGGATAATGGTCTTATTTCTACACAGTACGTCCCATCAGGACTCCAGTTAGCTGATGTGCTCACCAAAGGACTCCCATTGGAGCGGTTTTGAGATCTTACTTGCAAGCTGGGGATGATAGATATTCATTCCTCAGCTTGAGGGGGAGTATTGTAATATTAGTATTATTATTATTAGAATATGTTGAATATCATACAGCTCATTATGAGTTGCTATCCTATACAATTTATTATGAATAATTAGCATTTATAAGGGGAATAATTACACCCTTATTTAGATAGATGTAGAGTCTATAAATACCTCTTATGTATTCTTTACAAGATATATAAAACATTTCCATATTTTTACACTAATAGATGGCTTAAAGTATACTAAATTAATTACCTAAAAATAAACAAGAAATTGAATAAATCATACACCCTTTACATTGAAATTGCACATAGCTACCAAATATATAGAGAATTTGACTATATGCTGACAGTGTAAACAAGTTTAACATATACGTTAAATTATATTTCACTATCTTGCCACATATTGAACAAGTTTTCTAAAACTAATTTACACCATTTGTATATAATTATTAATTAAACTTGAGCATACATACCTAACACATGCATACATACATAGATATAGACACATCCATAAAACATATACTCGTGTGTTTAACATTGAACATGAAAGAATCTCACTGAAACGATATGCTTGCAATCAGGCAAAAAGATGACACCAGTAACAATTTCAGCATGTCCTGTAGCCTTGGCAACCATCTCTCCCGTCATAAAGTCATACATGCAAATGGATTTGTTAGAGAATGAGCAGACCACATATGTGCAGCTTGGATCCATTATAGCCTGATAAATGTCAACATTATTAGCTTCTCTAAAGAAGAATGATATCTGCAATCTTTTTAAACATTGAAACTCACCTTTATAGGTTGTCCAAAAAATTTATCACCGCCGTCGCTATTAATTTTGATAGAAGTCACAATAGCAGAATGGTCATCAATGCTGCCTATAAGATCAAAATTTCTGCACACCCATACACTACTCATCAAAATGCACAACCAGACAATAAGGGTAGCCTATAAAACTGCACAACTCTACCTTTCAACATCATAGAGATGGATTATACAATCAAGTCCCCATGAGGCAAGGAAGCAACTACTTTTTGCAATTTCCCCAGATATGTCTTGGGTGGACAAGGTAAAGCTTAATGTAAGAATCTCAGCATCATGAGCACCCTGAAACAATATGCAGGACAAAAATGACCATGAACAATAAAGCATACATTCAATATTCATTAATAACTTTAAATACACTCATGTGACAGAATTACCCGCAAACATGTGTAATCGGGTGTTTGAAGGTTGAATATATGAAGGTTTCCTTTGCAATCACCAGCAGCAAGATACTTTCCATCTGAACTAACAGCAAGTGATCGAAACTCTTGACGGGTAAGATCTACTGTAACTGCATCGCGTTCAAAAGTCCCAGCACTTACTGAAGCAATAGACAGGAAGAGCATGTGAGTAGCGGATAGCATGTGAAGTTGTGGATGTTATAGGGCTTAATCCTTTAGTACACAGGGCAGAACAAGAATCCTCAAAATAATTAAATTATATTGATTTGATGTGATAATATATTCAATGTTTTTACATAAGACAAGGCTGTTATGCTTAATTTTATTATTGATATGAAGTTATTTTTTATGACTTGACTTAAAAATCTCCATGGCTTAACTTACAAATACACACAATAAAAATATTATATTTATATGAAGTTATTATTTATGACTTAACTTAAAAACTCCATGTCTCTTGCTCTGTTCCCTTCCTAAATCTTGCCTCTCCTTAATTACCAACTAACTATCATTTTTGAAACATTCCTAACACACTATTAAAATTCCCTGTAAATTACAGAGTAAAGAAATAAGATTGAAAAACAATGTGTAAAGACTATGAAGCCTGATGCAGCTATTACACTTGTTTCATTGCGGCCATTGTAGTGTTGCATTCAGTGTTGTCAATGGTGTGTGACGGTTCATGGCGGAGAGCCAAAATCCTGCCATACCGGCCGCTTTGCGGCGCTGTTATTGCGGATTATAGCAGAAAAACTCGCAATAGCGGCCGATATTTACCATTGCGGCGAGCTCAAAAACTGCCGTGTACATCCGCCATAGAGGCCATGGCGCCGCAATTTGATAACACTAGTTGCATTGCATTTTTTTCGGTGATTTCCAAATACACTACAACTGCGATGTGATGCGGCTATTACACTTGTTTCGTTGCGGCCATTGTAGTATTGCATTCAGTGTTGTCAATGGTGTGTGGCGGTTATGGCGGAGAGCCAAAATCCTGCCATACCGGCCGCTTTGCAGTGCTGTTATAGCGGATTATAGTAGAAAAACTCGCAATAGAGGCTGATATTTACCATTGCGGCGAGCTCAAAAACCGCCATGTATATCCGCCATAGAGGCCATGGCGCCGCAATTTGATAACACTAGTTGCATTGCATTTTTCGATGATTTCCAAATACACTACAACTGAGATGTGATGCGGCTGCGGACACAAAGAAAGCCACAGTATTGAAACCACACACAATTTGAAACTATCCTTTGTTTGACGACAATCCAAACATGTTAAAGTTTCTAAAACAAAAGGGTGGGTTTTCATGAACTATGTATTCATACCTCCCAAAGAAATGGTGTAACAGTTCTCTTTATTTAATTTTTAGGGTAGCAATTAAAAGAATTTAGTATGCTGGTATATGAAATGAACAATATGTCTTTGTACAAAATCAATCCAATCTGAAATAATATTCAGCAATTTTCTAGCTTCAAATTAAGATATTTTTCATATATTCTGACAGGACTTAATTGAAAATTTTAGGAACCATGAGTTACCTAAACATGAAGAACCCAATAGCACATTGTTAAGCTCTTCAGTGTCTTTTTTTGACAAATCAGATTGCAAAGAAATATCCCATAGCCTAATTGTACCATCAGTAGAGCATGTTGCAAAAGAAATCCCTCCCAAACAACCTTTAGCGGTGCATGCAAGAGATGGATCATGCATGTTTTCACAACATAGATTCTTGATATCCCAAATGCATGAGGAATGTGAAACAAGCACATAACACTTAGTGGCCTGAAAAATGAAGACAGATTTTGTCTGCATTAACGACTAATAAATGTCTTTGACACCTCAAAATATGGAAGGAACTTACTGCATCATCTGCTAAATTAAAAGCAATGGTAAGGTCTAGGAAAAGGTCAGAGCCATTATAGATTTAATTTAGAAAACATTCTTTGCATTTACATGAGGCTCGTTTTTATCAAACCTGAAAGTTACCATAACAAGCAAGCCGAAAAATCATTTACCTGATTCACATCATGGATGTCCCAGATGTAGAGGCTATGATCGCTGTAAATAACCACTGTGGGGTAAAAATGAAGAGTATATCAATGCACAATGCAATAGTATGTTAAATGCAATTGTCAAAACAATACACTCACCCAGCTTTTCTGAGGATGAAAACTGACATGCAACTGCATCAGGCAGTGCAGGTAACTGTTGGAAATTCTGTTCAGGAAATATGGCATGGTAATTGGTGTTATCTTCTTCATGAAACTTCTTGGCCTTTGAATATAATACACATCCAGCGTATTCTAGAGACTCGGGAGTATATAATAGGACTGTTCCATTATTGCATGCACAGGCAATTAGTTTTCCCGATATTGATAATGCAAAAGCTTTTTGAACCTGCAAATGTAATTTGGGGATTGTTTAAAATTACAAAAAAAATACAGTTGAACGCCAGATTAATTCTTCTGACAGCTCAATCAAATTTGTAATGGAACAGTTTATATGATGGAAAGATCATAAGTATATTCTGGCTTTTAACTTGAAAAAAACATTCTTTTCTACTTGGGAAAACTATTTGAAGTATTTATAGGTCGAATACAACTTAAGTTATTTGACATTTCATGTATCAAGAATCAAGATATCATCTTTTGAAAGATGTCTATGACACACATCAATATATTGAATATACCTTCAGGATAACAGACTTTTTGACTGACAGCCCAGAATGAATAAGGTATAAAATGCCTGTAAACAAAGAAATTAGCAACACAAAAATATTAACTCAAACAATCTCAATTTTAGACTTGCTCTAAACTGAAACTAACCTGAATCAGTCAACGTATACATAGAAAATAAACGACCAGCTTGTTTGCGATTATCATCGCTGCTATTGGTCCACACAGAAGAAACAACAGATGTAAACGAACATTCTTTCTGAATTGGTAGATTGGAAATCTTTTCATGTATTGTTAATGATGCAGTCTTAACTGTCTTGCGCATCCCTCCATTTTGTTGAGCTTTCCTAGATGATTCAAGAGTCCAGATTTTCAAGTGCTTTTTACCAGCAGTAATAATAAATTTTGCATCTGATGAGAAGCTAACACTTGAGACAGTAGAAGAAGATGAAGTTGCTTGAAGCTTAGTTATCAGGTGACCACTCCGCCAGTCCCAAAGATAAATATAAACCCCGACAGATACCAGATGTTTACCTTGAACAACATTACTATATAATGAGTAAGAAACGACAAGTAATAAAATTCAAGAATAGCATATAGCTAAAGTGTAACCAACCATTTGGTGAGAAACAGATGCATGCAACTCCATTTAGATGCCCTTTCAATTCAGAGACAACAGATAAAGTAGAAGAATCCCAAACTAGTACCAAGGACTGGTTTCCTGCCTGCAAAACATAGTTAGGCTCGTGTAAAATATGTGGAAAGTGAAGCTATAATTTTGTTTTAAATAATGCAAATAGAATGTAGAAGAAAATACATAGATACATGTATGCATACATAGATATATCCCAGATGTTTCCTTAAAAGATGTGAAAAGCTTAGCCACCACAATAAAGGGCTTAGCCAGGAATTAAACAATCAAGGGTTGAGTTTAGAAGACATAATCTAAACTAGAAAGATTAAAAACATCATCCAAATATACCCTTAGCCATTTTATATGAATAAACCATTACAAATCAAATACTATGTTAACCCAAAAGAAGCACCATCTATGAAGCACATACACCTCTATGAGTAGGTGTGTTGCGGTGTCCAACACTTATATGACACTTGTACGACATGTGTCAGAAAAGTCATGAATATACAGAACATTACTACTAATACCATGATCAAAATATGAGAATGGATTTTACCTCTCCAGCAGCAACAAAGCGGCCATCTCGTGACAAAGCAACACATCTCAAAGGCTTTGGTTGCAATCTATCAGACGCAATGAGATGCGATTGAGTACCGGAATTCACATCAAGAATCACCACCACACAACCTGCCAAATAAGCACATTTGGAACTATATGAATTTGAAGCTAACCCATTCCCATTTTTAGTTGTCAATCCAATTACCTCTTCCAAAACAAGCTGAAAAAAAAAACACAATCATGAGAAACAACCAAAATAGCAAGTATATTTGATTAAAAACAAAATTCACCTACTTAGGTCACAATTTTTAGTTTAATCTTCTATCCGTAGAATCAATACAAATATTTATGATTCTAAAAATCAAAATGCAATTCCAAAATTTAAAACATAGTGCAACCACAGAAAATGGAAGAGGGATTGCCCCGTTGAATAGGGCAAAATACAATTCAACTCTACTAGCTACTAGATATATAAACTACCTGCAAATGTTGAAGTTGTTCACAGTTTCTAGCATTGTTATGTGCAAGGAAAATAATATAATGATAAAAAGAAAAACCTTTGATACAGTGTCGGGTTTCTTCAATCTGGCGGCAGTGGGCTTCATCTGGATGAAAATGGAGGAATTCGTAACTTTTCCGTTCACAGGAATTTTAGAGAAATGAAGAGTGGAAGGAGAGAGTGAGAGAGTGAGAGAGAAGAAGAGCAAGGCGGGAGTTTCGCTCAAATAATCTGCGGGTACAAAATAGGGACCCGTTACAATTTTTTTAAACTTATTTATTATTATATCATTTGTATATTCCATCGCTAGGGTGGAAACGAGAGCTATTTCTTAAATAGAAAATATCTAGGCTATTTTATAAGTTTATTTAACTAAAAAATTAGGCCACAGATAGTAAGAAAAAAAATTTAATTCTATTAAGTTGGCCTATTTTATAAAAAATTTAATAAATTTATTATTATTACATCATATTTTGTACTTTGAATTAAAATATGAAAATAAAGTTTAGTTATGTTGAATAAATTATGAAAATAAGTTGAAAAAATATTATAAACAATGTTATAAGTTTTTTTTCATAAGTTCTCTCTAATAAATAGTATTATCAAACTTATGCTAATAAGTAAACTTGAATGAGACAATAGAAACAAATATTTAGTTTCAAACATATTTTAATTTGTTAGTCAATTTAGCATTAGTTGAATTTCTTATTTACAAACGTTTAAATAAAGTAGACTTTTAAATAGGCTAGTAGGTCAATCAGGCCTTCGAAAAGGTCAGACTTAGGCCTAAACATAAGTCTATAATAGGCTACAGATCAGACTTAAGCTTTAAATTTTTTAGCAAACCAGACTCAAGTTTGGCAAAGCCTAACTCGGTCCAGCATATTTTCATCCTTATTCATTGGTTTCAAAATATTTTATTTTTATTAAATGATTATAATTGAAAAATTAATTATTATTTTTATATTGAAAAGTAAAAATGATATTTATTTTTAAAAATTAATATTTTTTAAATGATAGTCATTGTGAATTTTCATTGAATGATTAATATTTTTTTCTCTCCATTAATTGTATCATTATTATTTATTGTTACAAAATTTATTTGTTATTATATAATACATTCATTAATTTCTTCTATTACTTACTTATAAGATGTTGTAATGAAATTTGAAAGGGTTGTTAATAAGAAACAAATGGACTACATACTAGAACAATCTCTGAGTTTTGATATTTCTTTGTTAAATTAAAAGGGAGATTCAATCATTTGATTTAGTATTTAAGAGTGTGTTGTGTGACAGACTGACTTCTCTTTGTTTTTACAAGTGTTATGGCTTTAATCAAAATTAGATCAGGAGGTAATGTTCAGGTTTTCCTTTCTTCTTTTTACTCTTTCTAGAAGTGATGTTCAAGGTTTCTTGCACATGTGTAGGTCTTTTTTGTTTTTGGGTCGGGTGGCATATGGTTTTCTCTTTTTTTCTTCTGTTGTTATCTTTAGCTGATTTTTTTTTCTGAGCATGTGTTTTACTTTTGTTGTGTTTTCTATTCTCACTTTTTTTTTATTTAATGTATTGATCTGGTTTGCAATTTATAGTGTTATATTTGTAAAAGGCCTAGCAAAGGCGAAAAGATTATGTCTCTCATAAAGGGCGACGACCATATGCCGTCCCCTATTAGGAATCATCTCGCCCTAAACGTATCTATCTCACCCAGTTACGGGAAATATGGAGAAAAGGTGTTTCTTGAATAGAGAAGTCAGAGTCAATGGCTGATACACGTCCTCCTAGAAAGTAGGGATTCAAAGGTCCGTTATTGATTGAGTATGCACTTATCATTCTCAAGGAAACTATAGACCCAAAGCTCTCTATAAATACTTATCTCCTAACGGGAGATTGACATATCATAATTTATCCAACATAACGCTTATACACAGAGTCTCTCACCTCACATGAGTTGGTCCTCTCATACCACCATAAACACCATAAACGTCGTAAACACTATCGAATAAGATCTTTCGTCACTACGAGCAAGCTCTCACTCTGATAAACCTACTAAGACTTTTGAGTATTCTCTACTTGTATAGAAATACCACACACACACATATATTTCTTGACAAATACACTATTAAAAAATATAATTTATTTTCTATAATATCTTTAATTATCTAATTTTATTTATTTATCTTTGAGAAAAAAAGAATATGCACTGACAATGTAAAATATTTTTACACTGTCAATCAATCACGTATATGTATCTCGCCAAGTCACACGTTTAATTTTAAAATACTGGTATGACATGGCAGAATGTTATAATTCTAATAGATGATTAGATGATGTTTACACTGACAATGCACTATCTTTAACCTCTTAATCTTTATGTAATAAATAACATGGATATTATCAATAAATTTATCATTAATTTCAAATTGAACTTTGAAAATGAAAATGATGGAACCATGGCCACACTTATTAGGGAAAAGAGTTTTTTTCGTTGAGTTTTTAGAAATAGGCCTCCAACACAATAGCTCATGTTCTAACTCTGTATGATCATATAGATTGAAATAAGGATGGAAGATGTTCAATATTTTTTCTTGCCATCCCTCAAGTTTAATTTGGCACCCTCTAATTTTCGATGATACTAGGATTGAAAATGAGTTGAGTCGAGCCAAATTTGTCTGAGTTCAACTCGACTCGATAAGAATTGGTTCAGTTCACAACTCAACTCGAGTTTGATACAATTTTTTTTAAACTCAAACTCGACTCGTTTTAAGTTTATGAACAACTCGATTCAACTCGTTAGATTCAGTTTGTTAGATTCAACTCGTTATACATAGTTCAAGTTCAGTTCATTTAGTTAACGAACTAAGTTTTTTTCCTCTTATTCAATTTATTTGGTTCATGAACCAAGTTCAAGGATTTAATTGTTGAATTGAGTTACAAACTATATTTGAGTTGATTCAGTTCATTATCAGCTCTAGATGATATCCATATTACTCTTGACAAAATTTTAGTAAAAAATGTGCACGAAATGTTTGGTAGAACAAGTTGAAAATTCAGTATGAACTTAAAAATTTGGATGTGTATTTAAAAAGTTTGGTATGCATTTTTACCGGTTTTTTAAAATATGAATTTAACACTTTCGAATTTTTTGATAAATTCTATATTGTATAGTTATATGAATTTTTAAAAATTTATGTAGTTCATATTTGATAGTCCAAAAAAATTTAACACTATCGAATTTTTCGAAAATCGATATGTTTTATAGTTTTCCTGGCATATTCCAAAAAGTTGGTAAAAAATTCGTTTTTTTTCTAGTAAAATATGATTTTATGCCACATTTTTTGAAAAATCCATTGTAAAAAGAATGATTTTATATCGGCTTTTTTTTATTTTTAAAATGGTATAAAATCATAAATTTCTGAAAAAATCATATGATTTCACATCTGTTTTTTAAAATCATGTGTTAAAAGTATGTTTTTTATACCTATTTTTCAAAAAAATTGTAAAAACTCGTAAATCCCCAAAAAAATCGGTAAAAATTCACAGACCCTATAAAAATCCGATAAAATCTCAAAAAAATTCCAAAAATCCGATAAATACAATTTTTAAAAAATGAAAAATTCAAGAAGAGTATTAAGGTAAAAACACTACATCAAGGGGTGCCAGTTTAAATTCGGAATGTGACATAATAAATTCTTAAGATGTTCCCAATATTGTTTTACCCCAACCAAATTGGATTTAAGCTTAGATTAATAATTCACAATGTTTGTAGAGAAATAAATGTTATAACTTAGTGTGTTCTTTCGGATTGGAATAAGATCTAAAAGGAATGTGTTCTTTGTATTGTTTCACCCACCAAATTGGAATTGAGCTTAGATTAACAACATCTCATGTATTGTAAAAACTCTAACAAATATAGTGAATTTGTATTCATGTCTTTTATAATTTTATCATCTATTATGGATTTGATTTCACTCTTAATAAGGAATACAAATTCAATGTAGAAGCAGTGTCAGTTAGGAGAATATCATTAACATAAACTAGGGTATTCAATGTTACTCCTTTGTGTTTGTACTCAAAAAGAGAATGATCATATTTTTTGGACACAAAACTAAACAGAATCAAAGCTTGGTGCAGTTTTTCATACTAGGCCCTTAGTGCCTGTTTCAAAGCTTGGTGCAGTTTTTCATACTAAGGACCTAAATAGAATCAAAGTTTGTACTCAAAAAGAGAATGATCATATTTTTTGGACACAAAACTAAACAGAATTAAAGCTTGGTGCAGTTTTTCATACTAGGCCCTTAGTGCCTATTCCAAACCATAAATGGCATCCCTCTGTTTGTAAACAAAAGTAGTATTAAAGTTATCAAATCCATAAAAAAGGAAATTTCCCATTTGCATGTGATAGCCAAGGATAAGATATTTTGAATAGTTGTTGGTTTTATCACATGTGAGAATGTTTCATGAAAATCAAACCCTTGTTGGTGGAAGTCTTTTACTACTAGCCTTGATATGTATCTATTAACACTCTCATATGAATTTTCCTTTACCTAGAACACCTGTTGGCACCCTATATATTTTCTATTAGGTGGAATTGTGAATAATGTCCAAGTTTCATTCTTTATTAGTGATTCATATTTCAACTTCAAGGCCTCATACCACTCTATATGTGCAGGGGCTTGCTTTGTGGTATTTGGCTATGTGTGAACTAGAAATGCTTTAGGTTTGGATTTTCCTGTTTTAGCGCTAATCATTGATCGCGACTTTCTATGTCTAATACAACTTAACTGCAAGTGCACAGTCTATCGTGTAGTAATAAAAGATATCGATCCCACAAGGACTCGTAATCAAACTAGTGTTCTCGGGAGTTACTATATTTAGCTAGGTAGATAATGTTTAAGGGAATAATTGCTATTACTAAAGGGAACTAAAAATGTTACTTGAATTATAATTACGCGAATTGATATGCAATAATTATGTTCTTCGGGGATTTGACAAGTTACCGGTATATAAAATATTTTCAGAATTTACTTAAGAAGAAAATAGTGATCTAAAGACCTTCGTCTCACGATGGTTGTTGACGCTAGTCGCAACTTTAAGGCGGAACGTA